TTGTAAAAAACCTTCGCAATCATCTAAATAATATGGGATATGGTATATATTTTAATAGTGATAGTGAAAATAATACTATATTATCTGCCTTAGAAGAACTGGAAAATACTTTTTTGTTAAAAAAAATACAACTGATGATAACAGATGATGATGAAAACACATCTGATGAAGAAATTACGAAGTGAATTGGAAAAAATTAAATTAGAATGTTATAGTCAGGTTAAAATTTTTAAATAAAATAAGTCTACTTTTTGCTCATTCTTTTGTTGCTGGTATCATTATTAAATATTATTATCATTTTTGTCATTGGAATCTTAAAAAAAAAATAAAAATTTTTAGAACGAAATAATTGTTAAATATTTCATAAACTTCATTAAGACTATATAGCTTATAAAGTACATAAATTTTAAAAATAAATATATACAAAGAAAGCCAATGTTCTCATTACTTGCAAAATTCGAAGTTATAAAGTCCGTTTTTTTTAAAAAATAATTTTTTTGGCAATGATCGGCAAAAATTAATGACGAATGATAAATTGCGAAATCTGGTGATCGACGTATCCCCATATATACTAACTCTTACTAAAGTAAATTTAGATCAAATGGAAAGAGTTTAAGTCTAATATGTATATTTACTGTCAGGTTGAGGGTTTTACACAGAAGAAAATTGCTAAAAGGTTATATGTTAGCGAAGCTACTGTTAATAAAGCTTGTAGGATTTTTAAAAAGTGAGAATGTGTAAAAGATCCGTTTGTTTGTGGAGTAGTAAGAACAAAATTTACATCACAAGATATGTTGGTAAGAACTTTATTATAATTATGATAATTATTTATTTTTATTGTATAACTATCTAACAATTTACAACTTATAGGTCCCACAAAGTGATCGACATGTTGATAAAATAGAAAGCCTGCTATGCTAATTGGCTATACAATTCCGAACTCGTTACTCAACATATTCATCAAAAATGTTTGTCCGATATGACTTTTTATGTCATTGAAATTTAGTGATGGTTTAAAAAATGCTAACCAGTAAGTTTTATTTCATTTTTTTTTTTAAAAAAAAAAAAAATACATTTTGAATCTATTTCATGATTTTTTCTGATTATTAAAGGTGCGTTACGGTTGATATAATGAAATTTTACAACTTTCTTTCCGAATTATGTTCCAATCTTGCCAAACCAATATTGGATGTTTTCATTTATAATATACAATTAGCAAAGAACGTAGTAGGAGAGGGATTATTTGCATTATCATTGATGGTTCATAAATCATCCGTAATACTGCGAGCATTAACACCGCCGTTTGGAAAGTCGCTGAAAAACAGAAGCTCGAGGTAATTGTTGTTATTTTATTTTATTAGTAATAATATTCATGTCGCTAATATTTTTAATTATAAATTAAGGTGAATTTAGATTTACGCATTCACGCTTAATTGAAAATGCAGAAGAAATTGCGCTTTATTCTGGTCATGAAGTTGAAAAGGCTATTTTAGATCGCAATTATTTTGCATTGATTAAACATGTTAATAGAATCTTCCGCATGCGCGTTTTTCACGGTATGATGGAGGATTTTATCATCAAATATTTGTGGGGCGCTTTGGGTTTAATCCTTTGCTCTGTTCCTGTGTTCTTTACTGTGCCGGGAGTAAATAAAGGCGATCTTGGTTCTCGTGCAGAAGGTATGATACTGTTAACAATTCTTCTCATTTAGAGATATATTTTTAATTACAATTAAAACATTATTGTTTAGGATTTATCACCAACCGCAGATTATTGTTAAGCTCTTCAGATGCTTTCGGACGCATAATGTATTCTTATAAGGAAATTACCGAGTTGGCTGGCTACACTGCCCGAGTAATTTTATTATTTTATTTTTATTTAAAAAAAAAATCTCATTTAATTTTTGAACACCATATTTACCTACATTTTATTATCTAAAAAGATACCTGAACTTTTGGATACCTTTGATGCAGTAAAAGCAGGTCGTTATGAAAAACAACTTGTTTCTTCAGTTTCAACTGATGAAAACGCCGCAGTATTATCGGGTCGTGGAGAAGTCATTGAAGATGCAGCAACTATTGAATTCATTGATGTGCCTATAGTATCCCTAAAAGGGGATGTTTATTAAAAAATTGAATTTCTATGTGAGACCAAGCATACACTTTTTGATTGTTGCACCTAATGGATGTGGCAAAAGTAGTTTATTTAGAATTTTAGGTTGTCTCTGCCTGTTTACGGTAAGTATATATACCTAGCATATACTTGACAATTCTCAATACTGTCTAACTTTAATTCCAAATGTTGAAATTTCTTTTAAGTGGTACTGTTCATCGACTAAATCCAAGAGATATTTTTATATTCCCCAACGTCCTTACTTATCACTGGGCACGTTGCGTGACCAGTAAGTGTAAATTGAGTGTATGATTAAAATATTTATATTTTAAAAACAATTGAATAACTTTGCAAATTCTTTAGAATTATTTATCCACATACCGTTTCTGAAATTACAAAGCGTAAGTGCAAACTAATTTTAAATAATATCCAATTTTTTTTTTTTCCAACAAATATTGGTGTGTCCTAAACTAATAAGTAGGATCCCGCAACTCTATTCCTGAACCCAGAAAAAACCAATTTGGTCTTTCAGTGAATTAATTCATCTTACATAAACTATATTATATACAGAGGCGGGCTGTAATAAATTATCAATCTGAGAAGGAGCGCTACCTTCGAATTATTTCTGATCTTGATGAAAAGATACAAATGGAAAGGGCTAATCTTGTTGAGCTCACCAGCAAATGGTATGAAAGAAAAGATGTGGATAAAGAGCCTGATCTCAGAATAAACCCTAACGAGGGAGATTTTGAAGATTTTGGAAAAGATTTTGATCATAGTGAAGGGATTAATAATGAATCTTCAGCCGGTTCAACCTCCTTTAGTTCTCGAAAAAGAAGAGATATGAATGAAGAGCCTGATTTTAGGATAAACCCTATTGAGGGGAATTTTGAAGATTTTGGAGATGGTTTTGATTTGGGTGGTATTTATAATGAAAGAGATAACGATTCTTCAGCCAACACCATCGCCTCCAACCCATACTTATAATCTCGTGTTCGAGAACTTGTCAATTATAATGTTGGGTCTTCATCAAGAAGGTGTCATAGGACTAACCCTGTAAGTATAATTCACAGTCATGTATTTTTATTTCTTGAACCCGGGTTTTAACTTACCTATGCTTATAGTCAATACAAAGGGTAACATCTCCTCCACGAATACCTCCTTCACGATTACCTTCATCACCACTATCGTCCTCACTTATATCAGGATTTTTTTGGTGAAGAGTAATCACCCAAGAAAAGGATTTGTTTAAGCTGTCCTATTCGCTGTTTTGAGCAAGAAAGTGCTTAGAACCTCTTATTTAACAAATTTTAAACTTGGTGACTTTGAGGATAGTAGTTTGCGGGCAAATCATAGTTACTTCTTGATTATTTTTGGGGTCATCAATTCTGCTAAATATTTTTTAAAGTTTTATCCTTATTCATAATAATATTTATGCTTTTCTTGAAGTAATTATTCATATATATTAAAAATAGTAACAATCATTTGACATGTAGATCTTCAATATTTTTCATTTTGCGTAACAAAAATGAATCATTTTTTTTTTTTTTTCGCTTTGTTAAAATAGTTTTTATTTTAAACTATAATTTAAAAGTTTTGTTATTTATTCAAAATTAACAAATTATTGTTTATTTTATAATATATATATTTTTTATATATTGATAAAATTAACCGAAACTTTTAGCTTGGTTAAAGTTTTAGAAATTATAATTCATAGATTTTTAAATTTATAAAAATTAATAACTTTATTATATAATAAATTTTATTGTATATTATACATAATGCCTTTTCCTTTTAATACTCTTCTCTTATTTCTAATGCATTGTAAGACATCTTTATAAATAAATAATTATAATAATATAAAAATTACAGTCCACTCTATAAATGCATCCTTTATAAATGCATATCCTCTTTAAATGCATCCTTATACCTAGTCCTAAGAGGAGTGCATTTGTAGGGAGTTGACTGTATATATAAATATAAATACAAATTATAATAAAAATATATATCTATTTCATAATTAATTACATCTGTTTCTTTATAATCTTCTTCTAAATGCTCTTTAAAACTGAAATAACCTTCAATTGTACTATCTAATTCAATATTATAATAAGTAATAAAAGACAGTGTCATTTTAGAATCTTCAATATCATCAAAAAAGCAAGAAATTCATTTTTAATATTTGTGACTTTAATTATTAATATTGGATTACTTTTATTAAAATTTAAGTTAAGCTTATTATCTAGAATATCATTTACATTAATATCAAATAAATTTGAATATATAGAAGTATTTTTATTTATACTTTTTATATTATTAAGAATTTACAAAAAAAAAGAACATTGCATAACCCATAATACTTAAGTAAAGAATATCAAATAATTATTTCAATTATAATAAAAGTTACTTAATTAGTACTTTTATATCTTTTATATATAAAAAATTATAATTTAAAATAGATTTAAAGTAATTTTTTATTATTTTTAATATTATAATTACCTTTTAATACTTTATCAGATAGATTATTTATTAATTAAGTAAAATTTAAAATTTTACATTATGATTACATTAATTTGAATAAAAGTATTAATCAAGTTAAAATTAAAAAATTTTTTATATAATTTGACTATTATCATGCATATGTTATAGTTATCAATTATTAAATTTTAATAAGAAATAAATAAAAAGCTAATTTTGTATTATATTATAATTGTTATTAAATTAATATATAATTTATATATTAAAGTCATTTTCAGTTAATTTTAGGTTAAAGTTTAAATTATAAGATAATTATAAATTAAATAAATTTTTATGAATTTTCAAAACTATATATTTATTTTTAACTTATTATATAAATTTTACTAACAAAAAATTAGAGTTTAATTAAAAACAAAAAATAATTTTTATTAAATTTTATATGTAAATATAAATGAATTACCAATTATTTATTTACTAATTTCCTTGATTAATAAAGTTATCTTAGTAATTAATTTGCATGTAAACTTTTTTTTACATAAATATATTTAATATAATATTTCATTTTAACTATACTTAATGCTAATTAATTTTAATAATATTAAAATTAATTATATTAATTTGATATTTATTATAAATTATTAATAAATAATTATATTTATCAAAACATATTTATCTATCAAAATACAATTAAATTAGTAATTTATTAATTTATATTAAAGTATAATTTTAAATATAAATATATTATTAATAATCTTTTAAAAAGCTTATTAAAAAGTATTATCAAAGTTTTTAAATCACTCTAAAGCTCTTGTTTTATTAAAAATTATTTTTGATTAATTTATTTGATTTTACAAATAAAATAATTTATATTTTTTTGCTAAATAATATAAAAAAAAAATGGGTTAATCAGAATATAATATCTTTTAATATTACTTTTTATATATATTACAAATAATAATATCTAAATTAATAGTATTATTTGTATTTACAAAAAAAAACAATTATCAGATTATGAATTTAAAGTATTAATCTAATATAAAGCTTTAAACAGCTCAGTTTAGATCAGATCAATAAAATTATCTGAATTAAGAGAATCAGATCAGGTTAAATAAAAATATAATCTGATTTAAATTTTTATCTGATATAATCTAATCTAATTTAATCTAATCTAATATAATTAAATCTACTTATATATAATATGGCTATTTAGTTTACTATAAAAAAATATCACTACTTATTATCAATCAGATTATTATTGAATTAAAAACAAAAAACAAAAAATTGTGATTGTATTAATTTTTTATCTTATTTTTTTTTAATTTTATTTATTTTACTTATTTTTTTTATTTATTTTTAAAAAAATAAAATGAGAACAAAAAACAAAAAACAAAAAAAAATAAAAATTTAAACTAAAAAGATAAAAATAAAAACAAAAACTAAAAACTAAAAAAAAAAAAGTAAAAAAATAAAATAATTAAAAAATAAAAATATAAAAAAAAATAGATCAAATAAAATAAAATAATTAAAAAGAAATGAAAAGTTATAATAAAAAATTAAAATAAAAATAAAAAATAATAAAAATAATAAAAAAAAAAATGAAAATTATAATAAAAAAGAAATGAAAAACTAATTTAATAATAATAAAATAAAATAAAAATATATATAAAAAAATATATATAAAAAAAGAATTAAGTAAAAAATTAAAAAAAAAAATAAAAAATAAAAAGGACTGAAGGAGAAAAAATAATAAAAAAAAAGATTGCAAAAGGAGAAAGAAAATGAAAATAATAATAATAAAAAAAGAAATTAAAAAAAGATTATGGTAAGAGAAATTAAAAAAAATATAAAAAAAATATGGAATAAAAAAATTAAAAATAAAAGAAAAATATTAAAAAAAAATAAAAAAAATTAAAAATTAAAATAAAATATAAAGATTATATAGGTTGATTGCTAGGAAAATCAGGTTCTGGGAATTTTTTAACAAAATTGAGATTTTTATTGCATTTTAGTTTTTGATGTTATTAGATTAAAATGTATTAAGCTTTTAATTTAAGTCAAAAATTTCTCAGAACCTGATTTTCCTAGAAACTCTTCCATATAAATATAGATTATATGAAAATAAAAATAAAAAGAGAAAATTATAAAAAATAAAATTAGAAGAAATAAAAAAAATATATAAATTAAAAAAAATATAAATAACTAAAAATGAAAAAATTGTAATATTAAAATAAATCAAAAAAAAAATTAAAAAATTAAAAAAATTAAATAAATTAAAATTTTATAATAATAAAAAAATAAATTAATAAATATAAAAACAAATTAAATATTAAAATAAAAAATTATGATATTAAAATTAATCAAAAAAATCAAAAAATTGCAATATTGAAATAAACTAAATAATATAAAAAAAACAAAAAAAAATTTTGTATATAATTTATTATTTATTTTAATTTTATATAATAAACTAATTATTCAAATTACATCAGAAATAATTTAATGTAAAATATTATATAAGATTTATGATTTATAACTTAATACAAATTTATAATGTAAAATTATGTAATATTTACATTTTTAGTATAGTATTTCATATTATTTACTAATTATAATATTTGTAAAAAGCTATGAGAAATAATACTTTACATTATTTATTAATCATAATATTTGCAAAAAACTACAAGAATAGTATTTTATACTATTTATTAATTATAATATTTGCAAAAAACTATAGAATAATATTTTACATTATTTACTAATTATAATATCTACAAAAAATTACAGGTAATAGTATTTACTAATAATAATGTTTTCAAAAAACTACGGAAATGAATTACTATTTATAATATTTATAAATATTATAATCAAAAAATATTGTAAGTTTTACAATCTGTATCAATGTTATTAATCTAATAAATTAAACAAATAAACAGTCTGTTTATTAGATGCTTATTTATTTATTCATTGATTTCTAATAAATAATGAATAAATATTATGTGAATTTTATAAAGTGGCTTAAATATATTGATTGATTGTAATACTTTATATATATCATACTATTATAACTGCTCTGTTAACTATTCAGTGATGAGTTTTGGATATGTCTAATTAGAGTTCTGAAAATGACTCATATAAACTCGCATATGGATTCGTTGCTAGCAAAATCAAAGTCTAAGACCCATCCAATGAAATTTGAGATTTTAATTTCATTTAAATATGTTACACATGAACTTCATTTAGTTAAAAAATCATACTATATAATCATAATACGAAAATGAACACTTCAACTTTAAGGTTTTATTATTGAAAATTCTATTAATAAGTTTAAAAAATAGATATTTTATTGAGTTGTCGACTCAATGATTAAGTTTATTTTATACTTTATAGGTTCGCATGTATTTTTCTTTTTTTTTTCTTAACTATTTCACTATTATTTTTCTTATATCTATAATTTATTATTTAATTGTCTCTATTTCATTGTTTCGCCACTTGGTTATTTAACAACCAATTTTTTATAGATCTTTTAGGCTCTTCAGCTGGATCCAAGGTGGTAAGTTTGTTCATTTTATTTCTTTGCTTCATTTTATTCTTTCGTTTGGTTGTTGATTAACAACTATTTTCTTTTTTTTAGATCTTTAGACTTTTCAGCTGGATCCAAGGCGTAAATTCATTCCGTTTCATTTTCTTCTTTACTTCATTTTTATTCTTTTGCTTGGTTATTGATTAATAACCATTTTCTCTTTTT